TGATCAGTTTTGATCCCTTGAGGCTGAGGCTCAGGAGTTAAAAGTTTTGGTTTTCTGCAGCCCTAGTGCTAACGGAGAGGTTTTTACTTGCTGTAACTGTGACTCAAGATGAGACTCTCTGGATTTTTCTCCTTGAATTTTTGACCTGACAGTCAATTCAGATGACCTCACACCTCTCCTTTGTGCAGACAGCTTCAATTCTGTAGGGCTGGCACTTTGAGACTGTAACCTAAAGTTTGACCCTATACATTTCTCCCTTTGAAACTCAGATGCTCGTATCCACTGAACAGATTTTGTACTTGCACTTTGTGGTTCAGTATTTAGTGCCACAGTTCTCGCATCCTGAAGCGGTGGCTCTAACATTGGCTCCAAGGCTTTCACTTGGTACACCTGTGATTCTGGAGTCAATGGACAAGGTTTCATACTTAGTGCCTGTGGCCCATATTGGACCTCTTGAGCTTTTACATTATGAACAACTGGTTCAGGAGCCAATTCAAATGAGGGTGCATCTTTACATTGTAGTTTAGAGCTGAGCTCTATGGGTTTTCTACTTGCAGGTTTGGGTTCTTGTTCTGACCTCAGAGACAATATATCTTCTGACTCCAACTGTTTGTTGAGCTGGTCGAACATCCCACCTTTCCACTCTGCTGAGCTTATGTGTTCATCCCTTCCGGGCTCAAGAGTTAAATCCATGGGTGCCCTCCCTTGATACTGTTGTGTGGAGACTAAATCCATGAATTTTACTCCTTGGATCCCTTGTGTTTTGGCTTTCTTCACAGGTTTTAGACTTTGCTGCTTCAGACATGAGACAATCACACGTTTGCTATCTTGTGTTTGTGGCCGTGAAGTCAGTTCCTTGGGTTTTACATTGTGTTGATGAGGCTCTTGCAACACCTCCATAGGCTTATCTTGAAACAGCATCCCTGGTGCAAAAGTCCTGGGACTCTCCCCTTGCTTCTTTGGTTCACGTTCTAAGCCCATGGCATTTATATCTTGCACACGTGCATCATGGGCCAACCCCACAGTTATCAAATCCTGAATTCTTGAACCCGGGATCAACTTCACAGATTTCATACCACCTGACTGGGAACTACTTGGGGATATCACTGTAGATTTTATCCTCTCTAGACATTGTCCTAGAGTTAAGACTGCAGGTTTCCTGTCTTCTAACTGTGGTCCTGAAGGTGGTAACTCGGATTTTAAACCTTTCAAGGTGGAGCCTGGAGTCAGCTCCTCACGTTCCTTATCTCCTGCTTGTATCCCCGGGGTTGACAGCTTAGATATGATTTTCCCCAGCTCTGACTTTGACCTCAACTCCATAGATTTTACGCCTTCCAAATGTGGCCCTGGCGTTAACTCTTCTTGCTTTCAGGCTGTGATCTTCTCTACTGGTTTTATATGTCCCAAATGCTGTCTGTGGATCAATGTAGAAGATTCTACACCTTGTGCCTGTGCTCTTCTGATCAACCCAGAATGATCTGCACCTGCTAAGTGATTCTCAGGAGTCAATTTCTTTGATTCTGCATTTGGTATCTGTGGTTCAGATGCTATTTGATAAGACATTTTGCCTTCAAAGTTTGGTACTAGATTCCTTGTGACATATTTTATATCTTTAAAGG